CTTCATTTGCTCCTGAGCCCATGACCCCTTGAGTGGTGGCTCACCTGCCACTTTGGGCAAAGGAAACTGAGATTTTGTGCCCGAACCCCTCCCCTCAGCTCCCAATATCCCATCTCCAACTGGAGAGCTGCTTTAGGGGCTGGCTTCCGGTCAGCCAGCCATAGGTCCTGCTTCTTGGGGAGCCCACGACTCCTTCTTTTAGGTTTCCCTTTAATCATTACTTTCCCCCTTTTTTCCCCATCTCCCATACTATATGTATTTCCCTCTGGAAAGCCTCAGGATGTCTAAGATGGCAATGTGCACACAGAGGGTGCTTGTATTGGTTCAGGTCTTCCAAGAAAGCAGATTCCAAGACAGGACTCGGCACATACGAGACATGGTCTTGCTCTGTTTCCAGGCTGGAGTGCAGTGGCACAATCATGGCTCACTGCAGCCTCAAACTCTTGAGCTCAAGTGATCTTCCTGCCTCAGCCTCCCAAAGTATTTGAATTACAGTCATGAGTCACCACACCCAGCCAAGAGATTTGTTGAGGGGAAATGGGGAAGGAGCTGGAGGAGGCTGGGAGAGTGTTCACACTGCTACCTGTGTAGGAGAGAGGAAAGGAAGAAAAGTTAGGTGGGAAGACTTGCAGACGACACTACAGTACTGGGAAGTTTTGGCATGGCCAATGAGCAGTCCTGGAGCCAGTCACTGTCAGAGGTGTCCTGCCTCTGGCAGGAAAGAATGGCCTCTCATCCCTGGGGTGCTCAGTTCTTGGCAGAATAGCAGCCTGTGAGAAGGAAGTGCTGTCCCCACGCCAAAGAGGTGGTTGATTCAGAGCACAGCAGCTGGGGCTGTCTGCAATTAAGCACCGCAAAGCCCCTCAGTGCTTTCAGTTTTCATTAGCCTTCATCGAAAGCATCTGCATGTGTATAGAGAGGGCTAAGCTTATGACTGGTGACACTTTATTAATAGCAGTAGTGATAGATAGTACTTACTGCTTATTACTCTAAAGCACTTTTTATGTATCAGGCACTGAACTGAATCATTTATACGCATCAATCACTGAACGACCCTATGAGATACCCATTATGATTATCCCAGTTTAGAGATAGGGATTCTTATGGGCTGAATTGTGTCTTCATATGAATCTGCCCTCATTCATTATGGTAAAATTCTAACACTCAGGACCTCAGAATATGATTGTTTGGAGATAGGGTCTTTAAAAAGGTAATTAATATTAAATAGGCCCGTAGGGTGGGCCCTGATCGAATATGACTGATGTCCTTATAGGAAGAAAAAATCTGGGCACAGAGATCCACAGAAGAAAGATTATGTGAAGCCACAGAGAGAGACAGCCATCTGAAAGCCAAAAAGAAAAGCCTCGGAAGAAACCAAGGCCTGCTGAAACTTGATCTCAGATTTCTGGCTCTAGAATTGTAGGAAAATAAATGTTTTTGTTTAAGCCAGCTAGTTTGTGGCACTTTGTTACAGCATCCCTGGAAGACTAATAGAAGGTCAAGTAACTTAGCCAAAGTCAGGGAGCTAGTACATGAGAGAGACAGCACTGGGTGTCTCTCAGCTCAGAGCCCATTCTCTTACCCTGCTCTTCTGGGTCATGATGGCTGAGCAAGGGCTACAAAGTAACAGGTACAGAAGACAAAGTGACTCGGGGAGATCACTGAGAAGGAGCATGGCCTGGTAGGCTGGGAACACACAGGAAAGGGGCCCAGGAGACCTAGACAGCAAAGGAGAAGGGTTTCATATCTTGCCTCTACCCACTAATGGCTGTGTGATCTTGGTCGATTTGTTCTTGCTTTCTGAACTACAGTTCTATTTTGTGTCACATGGGAGTATTAGATTACCCATGTCTCACTGAGCTCTATTAATGATCAAATAAGAGAATTACATGAAAGCATCTATAGAGAGGAGGGCAGAGGGAGAGAACTGAATTTGCCTTATGCAAGTATTACTGTGGTTGTTACATATTATCCTTGTTTTAGCTGCTAGGAATATACTATTATAGTAATGTGTCAATATTAGAGCATCAATTTTCTTCTTTCTTTCTTCTTTCTTTTTTTGAGATGGAATCTCACTACATTGTCCAGGCTAGAGTGCAGTGGTACGATTTCAGCTCACTGTAACCTTTGCCTCCCAGGTTCAAGTGATTCTCATGCCTCAGCCTCTTAAGCAGCTGGGACTACACTGCACCACCACACGTGGCTAATTTTTGCATTTTTAGTAGAGACAGCGTTTTGCCATGTTGGTCAAGCTGATTTCGAACTCCTGACCTCAGTGGATCTGTTTGCCTCAGCCTCTCAAAGTGCTGGGATTATATGCGTGAGCCACCATGCTGGCCTAGAGCATCAGTTTTCCATCCGACTTAAGTTATACATATTTGGTTGTCAGAAAATTCATGGAGACTACTAGGGAAGCCCATTATAAAGTCCTATCATCCAACTACCTCTCAGAACTAATGTCATCAACACTCACTAGCATTGTGAGCTCATTAAGTGATGGTGAGGATTAATGTAATGAAAATAGCTGACATGTGTTTTTATTATGTGGCAAGTTCTGTTCTAAATTACCTAAGTTTAATAACTCATTTATGACAATCCTAAGAACAACCCTGTGAAGAAGAAACTATTACTATAATTCCTAGCTTACAGATGAAGAAACTGAAGTCCAGGGAGGTTAAGTAATTAGGCTAAAGTCACACAGCTGGGTAAGTGGGAAACTCAACATTCAAAGTAAGGTACACAGGCTCCTCAGTTGGACATAGATTGGAGAAGAAGTGAGGCATCCAGGATGGTTTCACGATTTTTGCTGGAGCAACCAAAGTAGCAAAATTATCATTACTTGTGATGGGAATGACTTCAGAAATTAATTTTTTTTTAGGGAAAGTCAGTTTGGATATGTCAAGTTTAAGATGACTTTCAGGTGTCCAAGGAGATGTCAAATAAGTCTAGATATAAAAATTGGGAGCTGTTAGCATATACATGATACCTAAAGCCCAGAGCCTGGCTTAGATGACCTAAAGGGCATAGACAGAAAGCAAGAAACCCGAGAACAGAGTCCTAGGCATTCTAGTTTATATAGGTCAAGGAAAGAAGAAATCGGCATAAGAGACCAAACAGAAGAATTAGGAGGATGATCAAGAGTTTTCCTGGAAGAAAATAAAATGGCCAAGGAAGAGAAAGTGGTCAATTGTGTCAAATGCTGCTGCTGGGTTGATTAAATCAGATGAGGACTGAAAATGACCTTTAGACTGAGCCATGAGGAGGGCATTGATAACCTTAAGATGAGCAGTTTTGAGAGGACAGGTTGGGAATACCTGACTGGAGTGGGTCCAGGGGAGAACAGGAGGAGAGGAATTGAAAACAGTCATTTCAGAGTTTTTCTTAAAAAAGGAAAATGAGAAATAAGAGGATAACTGAAAGAGAAAATATCTTTTATTTTAGATTCTAATATGAGAGGAATAAAAGCTTATTTATTGGCAACAGGAATGATCCTTTATACTAGGGAGGAGAACATAATGGCTGGATGCATGGGGGTGGGGATTTCTGGAGCAATATTCATGAATGGATGAAAGGGGATGAGATCTAGCGTCCAGGAAGAGAGACTGGCCTTAGCTAGAAGCATGGACAACTGCAGATTAAAAGATAGACTCCATCAGTATAAATGCAGGCCGGCAGGTAGGTAGTTACGTCAGTAGGAACATGGTTAGAGTTCTTTTCCGATTACTTTAATGTTATGGCACGCTTACTAAGCTTCTACTCTGAGCTCAGAAGTTGAAATTCTAAGCTCCTTCCAATGTTTCACCATTGCTTTTCACTTCGATTTCAACAAAACCCGCATTGTCCAGTAATTATAACTGCTTGTATATGTATCTTTCTTTCCCACCAGACTGAGAGCTGGAAGAAGGCAGAGAACATGTCACATTCTCTATTGCTCCCCAACACTTAGCACAGTACCTGACACACAGTAGGCAATACCTATCTGATGAACTGAATTGAATCCAGTATATTTGTTTCTCTACACTTATGCTGGAAATTTGATTTCCCTTGAGTCATAAGAACGTGCCAAGATTATCTTTCATATGGACTGGTGGGCAAATGACTTGTGTTTCATCCAAACTATTGGATTAGCCATTATATTAGCTATTTATTACTGAATTTAATATTGATGAAAACTTGCAAGCTTTGATCATTTTTAAAAAGACTTGGACCTTAAGTGGGCCATGGCAGTATCCTCAGAAAGATGACAATAAGTAAGAGGATACGACTTCCTTTATAATTGGCAGATAGGGTTCAGTTTGCCAAATTCCTTCTTTTAGAAGAAGAAATGAATCCACTGTAACAAATATGCCATAATTGCAGTCTATAGAGGCCAGTGAAAAATTCTACCATTTGAATAAAAGGTGCTGAAGAACTACCTCCTTAGAGAAACCGTCTAAGGAGAAAAGGATATACAACCAAATGGGTGTGTGTTGTGATAGGAAATGTACCTCTCTACCTCCACTTAGTATTTTATGAAGACTTAGAAAAATTAAAGTCAACTGTAACAGCTGGGTCGTGCAGTGTGAATGAAGTCTGTCAATATGCTTTCAGCAGGAAATTCAGCATGACAGATTGTTTTAGACATAGAGTCATAGAGTCTGGCCTTGGGCTTCTATCCTACCTCAAATGACTTAATTTCCTCACCTAAAAATTGGCATGATGACATTATCTATCTCATGGGGTTGTTGTAAGATTCAAACGACTGATTTAGTGCTTATAAAAGTCCCACACAATACCCAGAACATCAGTAGTTTTAGCCACTATAACTTATTTTAATAATAGTAATATCTAATAATAGTAATAACTTGCTTTAATAATAGTAATAAAAAATCCATAGCATTCTACTATAGTTCTTCCTTTTTGTTTTGCATCTGCTAATACCTTTTCTCTTTTTGCTTAATATACTTTGTTTTTCTTTTAACCCTAGCTTTTATTTTCTGCCCATTCTTTTTCCCATGTAGAAAAATCGATGGGACCACTGAGGAAGAAGATAACATCGAGCTGAATGAAGAAGGAAGGCCAGTGCCGACGTCCAGGCCGAGCCCCCCACTCTGCGACTGCCACTGCTGCGGCCTCCCCAAGCGTTACATCATTGCTATCATGAGTGGGCTGGGATTCTGCATTTCCTTTGGGATCCGGTGCAATCTTGGAGTTGCCATTGTGGAAATGGTCAACAACAGCACTGTATACGTTGATGGAAAACCGGAAATTCAGGTTGGTATCAATCCATGGTGGCAGCCTTTTCTTTTTGAGACAGGGTCTCACTCTGTCTCCCACGCTAGAGTACAGTGGCGTGATCTTGGCTCACTGTAGCCCAGACCTGCCTGGTCGAAATGATCCTCTCATCTCAGCATCCTTCCATCTCAGCATCTCAGATCAGTAGCTGAGACTACAATCATAAGGGAACTTTTTTTGACTGCAGCTGTGTCAATACTTTGCTCCTTGAGAGAAAGCCTTACAATTCCTTCAGTGATGTGACAAGAATGGAGAGTGGCTACTTGTGCTGGGCACTGTGCAAAGTGATGGGGATAGAAAGGTGAACAACCTAGACTGGGCTCTGTCTTCATGCAGACAAGTAAGTGATGACAGTTTGGGGCGGTAGGTGCTGTGTTGGAGGTACACAGGATGCTCAGACTCATAGGAGAGGGCCCAATCCAGATTTTGATATTGTGAACAAATTCCCAAAGTGATGGCTGGACCAGACAAAGAGGATGTGGGGTGGGAAGAAGAATGTTTGAAGAAAAAGGGACTGCAAAGGACTGTAACAAAGAGATAGAGATGGCCTGGTGCAGTGGCTCACGCCTGTAATCCCAGAACTTTGGGAGGCCAAGACAGGTGAACCACAAGGTCAAGAGATTGAGACCATCCTGGTCAACATGGTGAAACCCTATCTCTACTAAAAATACAAAAATTAGCTGGGCGTGGTGGCGCACACCTGTAATCCCAGCTACTCAGGAGGCTGAGGCAGGAGAATCGCTTGAAGCTGGGAGGCAGAGGTTGCAGTAAGCCAAGATTGCACCAGTGCACTCCAGCCTGAATGACAGTGAGAAAGAGAGAGAGAGACAGGGAGAGAGAGAGAGAGAGAATGCACACATGCCATCTCGGTATATTTTAGGAACTGAAACAGGAGCTCATCATCTTTTCTGTGTCACAGACTCCAGGTGATGACTGATGAACCTTTGCCAAAGTAATGTTTTAATTTCTTAAAACACAAAGGATGACAAAGGAAGCAAATTATATTAAAATATAAATACAAAAAGTTTTAAAAATTACATTTGTGACATAGAAACCTATGGGCTTCTTTATTAGCACATCAGTGACAAAAATCTAGCATTGGGTCTAACATTTACTGTGATTTGAAGTTGGAATGTAAGCCATTGTTGGAAATTGTGGCCATGACTGTAATACGATTTGAACATATTTACGATTTCCACCTGGGACAGTCGTAGGTACTAGTCATATGACTGTGGCTTTTTGCCTACATTCATAATGGCAGAAATGCTACATTCTGGTTAAGAGTGAAAATAAAGATGCATGTTTTTTTCCCATCCAAGTTCTCAGATCCACGGGATTCCAACCGCAGACTCTAGGTTGAGAACTCCCTGTGATTGAGTAGAGCTCCTTGAGGTGGAGGCAGTGAAGTAAATAGGGGGCTGATCACCTAAGGCCTGATAGGCGTGTAGCAAGGGGCTACAAGCACAGGGTGATCACACCCGTGCTCCAGATTGGCCACTGCCCAATGGGAGAAGGCCAGATTGAAGTGATAGGAATGGAGGCCACAGGGCCAGTTCAGAGGCTGGCATATAGTTATAAGCAAGGATACTTTGAAGTGACTTAAATCGCTGAAAACGTAAAATCTGGTTTGCTGCTTACATGATAGACCTAGAGAAGTACCGAGGTTTTAGGGAAAACAAACAAAAATATCTGCCCAGTGGACACCCCATAAATTCATGTTTCATCGTACTAAGCACACACACACTGCAATGACTCATGCGGAAATCCATTCATTTGTAGAGAGGCATTTAACAGTTCTCTGGTCCCTCCATTTGAAGAAACATTTAGATCATAGTTTTCTGAACTGGTGTCTGGGAAATCACTGCTCTGCAGGCTGTGCCATGAAGAAGGTAGTGCAAGACATGGAGTCCATACTGTGCTGTGTCCTATGAGACTTTCCAAGAGGGAGGCGTGGTAGGCAGGATTTCTTGGACTCACTTGATCACAGGATGCCCTCTTTCATGCCACATCTATTAGCATCAACTGGCACAGTCTCCTGCCAGGCACTGGTTTGAGAAAATTTGATTTCAATCTGTCAAAAAGAAGTCTTTAGTTGCTCTGCAAGCTATTTGTCTTTGCTTTTTTTAAAAGAAGATATTATTCTGCCAGAGGAAAACAGCACCACCGAGATCCTCCTAACTAGTCTCTTTCTGATGCCACAGCCAGATCTGTCCTAAAAGGATATTCTGTCTTTTGTGGGGGTGTGGGGAATAGAGGTAGAAGGGCATATCATGCATTTTAAAAATAAAGAATGATGTATATTAGCAAGGTTTCAGATGTGTATCACATGCATTCTTTCAGCCTTTTGTGAGCAAGGCCAGCTAATTAAAACTTGTCTGCTGAGGCCCAGATCAAAAAGAGATGCTGTTTTGCATTTGTTTGTTGCCTGAAAAGATAGACCTCGGTCAATAGAGTCTGCTTTGAAGCATATGGAAAAGACATTTTGATAAACCCAAGGAACAATGCTAGTGTGCACTCTCTAGTTTCTATGGCTGTGCCCTCTGGAGTCTTAGAGAAACTCATTAAAATCTGAAATATGGTTTAACTTTTTTTCCTCTGGACTCAGGAGTAGGGATTTAGTATCAGAAACTCTAGCACAACTCCAATTTATAGCAGATTATTTCTCTCTTGTCCACATAGAGCAAAGCTTAGATATCAACTGAGCATGTTCAACCAGATGACAAAGACTTTGCTAATTGTATTAAGAAAGGCTCTGGGCTGAGTGCGATGGCTCATGCCTGTAATCCCAGCACTTTGGGAGGCTGAGGCAGGCAGATCACAAGATCAGGAGTTTGAGACCAGCCTGACCAACATGGTGAAACTCTGTCTCTACTAAAAATACAAAAAAAAAAAAAAAAAAAAAAAATCCAGATGTGGTGGTGTGTGCCTGTCATCCCCTCTACTCAGGAGGCTGAGGCAAGAGAATCACTTGAACCCAGGAAGCAGAGTTTGTAGTGAGCCAAGATCGTGCCACTGCACTCCAGCCTGGGTGACAGAGTGAGACTTTGTCTCAAAAAAAAAACAAAAGGAAGAAGAAGAAGAAAAAGAGAGGCTCTGAATGTCTGAATGGCTGGCATATTTGTTTGTTTTTTCCATTTTAAGGGGAAAACTAGATATCTGGCACTGAGATATCTTTAAATCTTTATTTCAAGAGAAGGGGAGAAATAAGCAGTATCAATAGGTAGATCTTTCAAATATGTGGCATATGTTCTACAAGTGGAATGGAGGGTGATTTTAATTAATGCACGAACGATCTTTTTTTGTTTGTTTTGAAACAGGGTCTCTGTTGCCCAGGCTTCAGTGAAGTGGTGTGATCATAGTTCATTGCAGCCTTGACCTCCTGGGCTTAAGTGATCCTCCCACTTCAGCTTCCGAGTAGCTGGGTCCACAGGCTCACCCCACCATTCCTAGCTAGTTAAAAAAAATTATTTTTTTAGAGATGGGGCTGCGTCATGTTGCCCAGGCTGACCTCAAATTCCTGGCTTCAAGGGATCCTCCTGCCTTGGCCTCCCAAAGTGCTGGGATTACAAGCATGCACCACTGTGTCTGGCCCATATTTTTAGTTTAATAGTTATGAGTTAAAACATGTGAAGTCTTAGAAAAGTGTTTGGCATATAGTAAGAAAAAAAAATGAAGTTTGAGAAACTTGTGGTTTTGTTTTCTCATTACTCTCAGGAAAAGTTCAAAGTCCTTCCCATGGATCACGGGCGCTGCAGGATTCAGAGGATGGGCTTTGGAACTGGCCAGATCTGGTTTTCATGAGCTCTGGGACCTTGAATAAGTTGCCCTTGTGTCCTAGTCAGGAATTGCTCATTGCAAAGAAGAGAAGTGCAGCGAAACTGGCTCAAGTTAAAAGGGGATTATTTGGGCCAGCTGCAGTGGCTCACGTCTGTAATCCCAGCACTTTGGGAGGCTGAGAAAGGTGGATCACCTGAGGTCAGGAGGTCTAGACTAGCCTGGCCAACATGGTGAAACCCCATCTCTACTAAAAAAATACAAAAAATAAATTAGCCGGACATGGCGGCACACAACTGTAACCCCAGCTGCTCAGGAGGCTGAGGCAGGAGAATCTCTTGAACCTGGGAGCTAGAGGTTGTAGTGAGCCGAGATGGTGCCACTGCATTCCAATCTGGGGGACAGAGTGAGACTCTGTCTTAAAACAAAACAGGTGGTAAACGGTGGTGGGGATTATTGTAGGGCTGTAAGGAGATCTGTGAAAACCAAGGGCAGAAAGCAGAAAGTAGGTCTGTGGTGTATGTTTGTGTAGTCTGCGCTCAGGACAGAGAAGCCAGCCTGAGGTGGGGCTGAAACCCAGGCTGTCCTCCACCCTGAGGAGGGAAGGGAGTCTTTATGTCATTCTCTCTGAGGCTGCAGGGCAAGCCCTGCCAGAAGCACAGAGTGTGTGTATCTATACACACACACATTAGATATATGTATTTTTAGAGACAGGGTCTTGCTCTGTCACTCACACTGGAGTACAGTGGAATATTTGTAGCTCATCTTAACCTTGACCAACTCCTGGGCTCCAGGGGTCCTCCTACTTCAGCCTCCTGAGTAGCTAGGACTAGAGGCACGCACCCCCACACCTGGCTAGATGATGATGATGATTATTATTATTATTTTTGAGATGCAGTCTTGATCTGTCACCCAGGCTGAAGTGCAGTGGCATGATCTCGGCTCACTACAACCTCTGCCTCTTGGGTTCAAGGAATTCTACTGCCTCAGCCTCCCGAGTAGCTGGGATTACAAATGCCTGGCACCGCATCCAGGTGATTTTTGTATTTTTGGTAGAGACGGGGGTTTCACCACGTTCGCCAGGCTGGTCTTGAACTCTTGACCTCAGGTGATCCACCTGCCCCGGCCTCCCAAAGTGCTGGGATTATAGGCGTGAGCCACCGCACCCTGCCTAGCTGGCTAGATTTTTAATTTTTTTGTAGAGATGAGGTCTCGCTGTGTTGCCTAGGCTGGTCTTGAGCTCCTGGCCTCAAATAACTCTCCTGTCTAAGCCTCCCAAAGCATTGGGATTACAGGTGTGAGTCACCATATCCATTAATACGAATATATAAATATATATTTAAATTTGTATGTAATCTCTTTCTTATTAGAAGGTGAAATCTATGAGAGCAGGGACTTTGTTGTGTTTTGGTTTTGTTTTTTAAGATGGGATTTCACTCTGTTGCCCAGGCTGGAGTGCAGTGGCATCTATCTTGGCTTACTGCAGCCTTGACCTCCTGGGCTCAAGCCGTCCTCCCACCTCAGCCTCCTAAATAACTGAGACTAGAGGTGCGCACCACCACGCCTGGTCCCGGACTTTTGCTTGCTGCCCAAGTATGTAAGATGCCCTTCATAGATATGTGTTGAATAAATGAAAAAAGAAAGACCTCTTGAGGTTATTACTGTGTAGGCTCATTGGTGAAAAATGCTTGTCAGATTTTTTTCTAACAAACACAACTATATCTGATTTCTCGTTTCCAGACAGCACAGTTTAACTGGGATCCAGAAACAGTGGGCCTTATCCATGGATCTTTTTTCTGGGGTTATATTATGACACAAATTCCAGGTGGTTTCATTTCAAACAAGTTTGCTGCTAACAGGTAAGAAAAATTGATATAACATGATATAAACAAATAAAATATGGCTTTGTACCTTTATAAATTCTGCATAGCTGCTGTCTCTCAATTTAGGGGTGCAAAATGAAAAACAGGAGCCATCTGGATAGATGCAGTTCACAAATATTGATCCCAAATGATCCTGCTCTTAATTTATTTTTATTTTTTGAGACGGTGTCTCACTCTGTCACCCAGGCTGGAGTGCAGTGGTGTGATCTTGGCTCACTGCAGCCACTGCCTCACTCCTCCCCCACCCTACTCCACATTCAAGTGATTCTCATACCTCAGCCTCCTGAACAGTTGGGATTACAGGCACGCACCACTACACCCAGCTACTTTTTGTATTTTTAGTAGAGACGGAGTTTCACCATGTTGGCTAGGCTGGTCTCAAACTCCCACCCTCAAATGATCCACTAATGCCCTTGAGACTCTGTAGTGGGTGTTTGAGCAATTAAAAGTGTCTAAGAACAGAGTGAGCTGTCTCAAGAAGCAGTGAGTTCTCTGTCACCAGAGGTATTCAAGCAGAGGAGGACGGCCACTTGGGGGAGATGTTGTAGAGTGTATCATGTGCTAGAAAGGAGTGAACTAATTGTATTTCCTATATGACTTTCCATAAATGGATTTCATGAAGTGCGTTCCATTTTAGAAAACGGTGTTTTTTAAATTCTAAAGCACAACTCATTACATAGTTGTGAAGAAAATATGATTTACCAATGATCATTTTTAAAAAAGAGAAAAACAGAAGAAAAGATAATCAAATAGAATAAAGTAGAATAGAAAATATCTGAGTGCATTGCACATAAGGGTAAATACTAGTTTTTGAGGCTTGTTTTAGTTATATTTGTATGTATGAGTATGGACTGGGTTGAGATATAAAATATATTTTGTTTATGGGTTAAGGTAAAAAAAAATTGGAAGCCACAATCATAAGATCTAAATATGTATAAGGATGTATTTGTTTAGATTCTTGTCTAATTTATGTCTTTCATTTATTGTTAGTTACCTATTGTATTGTTTTTAAAAAGTGATAAAATATTGCTTGCTATGGTTTCCTTGGTTACTGCTTACACCTGTGCCCTGAAAAATAATCACACATAATTTAATTTCCCAGCATGTAAAAAGAGTAGAAACATCATTAACATGGGTAAGAGGGGAAGAAAATGCTGCCTGATCTTTTTTCACAGGGCACCCTGGGCTGGGCAGGGAATGGGAGCTAAGACAGGTACACAATCTGTCTTGTGGTTGGCTGGTCCCAGGACATGAGATCCTTCTTGGATAGTCAGGGTTTCCTTCTGGTAAACTGAGAATAGCTCTGGGAAATAGGAGACACAACCTCAAGCAGCAGGAGTCATGCAGTAACAGTCAGAAAAGATCAGGTGGGGGAAACCAGGCAGACGGTAGGTCTCTAGCAAGCTTACCTACACCTGGCCAATCTCCAACTTTTCAGGACATCATCCAGGCAGGACATCCCTGTGCTACCAAAAATTTGTTGATAATTGGTCCAGGGGCCAGAGCTTGGGAATCAAAGAAGCCCAAGAGTCTAGCTTGGGGCACACTAGACCCTAACACATCAATTTATCCAAATTAATTTCTATTAATTTCCACAGGGGTCTCTCATGAACTGTTAGATTTGTTTCTGGTGCTTAGCTGAAGTACCACATCCAGCAGCGGCCTGCCTAGTAACACAGTGCTTTGATCCTTCAGGGTCTTTGGAGCTGCCATTTTCTTAACATCAACTCTGAATATGTTCATTCCTTCTGCGGCCAGAGTGCATTACGGATTCGTCATGTGTGTCAGAATTCTGCAAGGTCTAGTGGAGGTAGGAGATACTTTCCTTACAGTTTTTGATGTTGCTAGAGACAACACGGTCCTTTAGAAAATTCAGCTTCTGGAAAAAAAAAACAAAACAATCTTTGCTCAGTGTATTTTTTTTTTCTATATCTTCTTCCTTTTCCTGCTGTTTCCACTCTTTGGTTATATCTAAAATTTCAAATATTTCAATTAAAATGCCTTGTGTGATTTTACGTTTATGAACAATAAAGGACCCTTCCATAATGATCTTAGAGATAATCTAACCCAACCCTCTTCATTTTAATAGAGAGTGAAACTGAAGCCCAAACCTACAGTTCACATAGCAAAAGGTCATTCCATTAAAGCAATTTAAGTGGATTCGTTAATAAATCTGTACATTTTCAAGGGAGTAGTCCGATGCAGAGATTTAACTCACTGAAGGAGGCAGCATGATATGGAGCCAGAAAGTAAATATTTTGGACTTTGCAGGCCATACAGTATCTGTTGCAGCTACTCAACACCGCTGTTGTAGTGCAAAGGCAACCAGAGACAATATGGAAACAAATGGGCATGGTTATGTTCCAGTTAAACATTTCGCAAACTGAAATTTGAATTTTATATGATTTTTGTGTGCCATTAAATATTATTATTCTTTGGATTTTTTTCTTACCATTAGAAATGTAAAAAACATTCGTAGCTTGCGGGGTATACAAAAACAGACGGTGAACCCATTGGGCCATCATTTGCCAGCGCCCCGTGTGCCCCAGTGCTTAGCAGACACAGTCACTCACCTCTGACCTTCGTCAGTTTGTTACGCCCGTGTACAACTTATGCTATTATTTGCCTATTGTTTTCCCCTAGATTGACTCATTTAAAACAAAAAATAAAAAATACCTATTATTCTAAGCAACAACATCTTTGAAGACATGGGTTTGATGTTCTAGTTACATCTTTTTCAAAGCATCCATGTGTGTGTGTGTGTATATATATATATATATATATAAAATGTATAGTTATATGTAAATTAAATTATAATAGATTAATTATAACATATATACTAGCATATATATGTTTATATGTTATATTAATACATGTATATACATGTACACAGGGTTAAGGTTAGGGAATTAATATATGTATATTAATTGGGAAATGATATATGTGTATATTAATATATACATATATTAGTTAATATATGTATACACTAGTATATATATGTTATAATTAAGAATGTACGTTGTTATATCACATCAAATCCAACTCTAGTCCCACTAGAGAGATGTATACCGCACTTTGGGATGTACCGTGTGGTGGAAAGAACGTGTTATTAGCATCCATGAAGACTAAATTTTAGTCACTTATTGGCTCTGAGTCTCAAGTTCTGTATCTTGAAGTGAGAGGATGGATCAGCTGATTGTTGAAGGCTCTTCCTTCACTGATAGTCTATGATAATATGAAATATAACTATAAAGACCTTTTCTCACATCCCCTACCATGCTTACATGTGAACCGTATTTGAATTTCAGCATCTATACTATGAGTCGAAATAGCTGAATCATGCCATTTAGTATCTGTCTTAGTCCATTTGAGCTTCTATAACAGAATGCCATAAACTGGGTAACTTATAAATGATAGATTTTTTTTTTTTTTGAGACAGAGTCTCACTTTGTCACCCAGGCTGGAGGGCAGAGGAGCGATCTCAGCTCACTTCAACCTCTGCCTCCTGGGTTCAAGCAGTTTTTATGCTTCAGCCTCCTGTGTAGCTGGGATTGCAAGTGCATGCTACCATATCTGGCTAATTTTTGTATTTTTGGTAGAGACAGGGTTTCACCATGTTGACCAGGTTTGTCTCAAACTCCTGACCTCAGGTGATCTGCCTGCCTCGGCCTCCCAAAGTGCTGGGATTACAAGCATGAGCCACCAGGCCCAGCCATTTTTTTTTTTTTTGAGACAGAGTCTCACTCTGTTGCCTAGGCTGAAGTGCAGTGGTGCAATCTCAGCTCACTGCAACCTCTACCTCCCGGGTTCAAGCGATTCTTGTGCCTCGGCCTCCCAAGTAGCTGGGATTACAGGCATCTGCCACCATGCCCAGCGAGGTTTTGTATTTTTAGTAGAGATGGGGTTTCATCATGTTGGCTAGGCTGATCTTGAACTCCTGACCTCAAGTGATCTGCCCACCCTGGTCACTCAAAGTGCCGGGATTATAGGCATAAGCCACTGCACCTGGCCTAGAAATGTATTTCTTACAGTTCTGGAGGCTGGGGAGTTGAAGATCAAGGAGCTGGCAGATGGATGACTTGGGAGGGCCAGTTTCCTGGTTCATAAACAGCTACCTTCTCTTTGTGTGCTCATGGCAGAAGGGATGAGGGAGCTCCCTGGAGTCTCTTTCATAAGGTGCTAATTCCATTCATGAGGGCTACACCCTTACAACCTAGTCACTTCCCAAAGGTCCATCTCCAAATACCATCACATTGGGAATTAGGTTTTAACATAGGAATTTGGTGGGGACACAAACATTCAACCTACAACAGTGTCTATGAATTGGGCTTTCATATTGTACCTGTGTGAAGAAGCAGCATCTATGTTTTAAACACAAGCAGAAACTGGAGTCAAATCACCTAATTTATTTGCAATTCTTCTGTCAGGGTGTGACCTACCCAGCCTGCCATGGGATGTGGAGTAAGTGGGCACCACCTTTGGAGAGAAGTCGATTGGCCACAACCTCTTTTTGTGGTGGGTATATTAGAACCATAACAAATTTTATTTATGAATGCTTTTTTGGGCTCATGTGGTGGCTCATGCCTATAATCTCAGCACTTTAGGGAGGCCGAGGCAGGAGGATCACTGGAGCCCAGGAGTTCGAGACCAGCCTGGGCAATGTAGTGAGATTTTCTTAAAAAAAAAAAAAATTAGCCGAGCGTGGTGATATGTGCCTGTGATCCTAGCTACTAGGGAGGCTGAGGCAGGAGGACTGCTTGAGCCCAGGAGGTTGAGGTTGCAGTGAGCTGTGATGGCCGCAGCACTCCAGCCTGAGTGACAAAGTGAGACCTTGTTTCTAAAAACAATAAATAAAAAAGAAATGGAATGCCTTTTTGGCTTCAAGTAACTGAAAACCCTACTAAGGGCCTTAAAATGAGTCTATTTATTTTATATAACAGAATTCTAAAGATGAGTGATTGCTGGTGTTGGTTCTGCTGCTCAAAAATCCATCCAGGGCCTAGGCATGTTCTGACTTTCTACTCTGCTTGCTGTACTTTGGGACAGCTTTTTATTTACGTCTGTGCTTATTCCATCTGTTCCTTTCCTCAGGAAAACGAAAGCTTTCCCAAAGCCCCCTACCAACCTTCAACTTTAATTCCTTTGATCCTAACTATATCTTAAGCTTTACTAACTGCAGAGGAGGCTAGGCAAGCAGATACCTAACTTTGCCACCCTCTTCAGGAGTGAAGGGGAAAGGAGAAAGGGTTGTAAGTGGTTGTTGGATTAGCCAACAAATGACATTTGCTAAGGATAAAAGTGGAAGAGATGGGATCATCAAGCATCCCACACCTCTCCTTCTCATATGAAACTAAAGTTCAGTGACTTGCCCAAGATTGTGGAGCTAGAACAAGACCTGACTTTTGATCTGGAATTTTCCTTACTTCACACTCCTGCCACGTACATGGGGTCTCACTCTGTCACCCAGGCTGGAGGACAATGGTGTGACTGTCATACAGACAGTTAGTTAATTTTTGCCATTATATCCTGGATAATAAGAAGTAGAGACCATCCATCTTATATGAAAGTAAATGAGTAGCCCCCAAGTAGTATGTGACTTTAATTCCTGGGCCTCCAAATTTCACCTTGCTGAGGTTGCCCCTCTCCAAGCTACTCCTGTGGGACTGGCCTCTCCAGGTGTCGTGGGGTCTCTAGGTATCAATCAACAACAGAAAAACAACAGCACATGCTGCTGCCATCAACACAGTTGTAAATGTGTTGGGAGAAGGGTTCATGAAGGTAAAAGTATCTTAGACCGAACAGGCATGTTGGGTGGCTTGTACCTGTAATCCCAGCACTTTGGGAGACTAAAGTGGCGGATTGCTTGAGCCTGGGAGTTTGAGACCAACCTGGGCATTATGGTGAAACCCCATCTCTACAACAAAAATAGAAAAAATTAGCTGGATGTGGTGGCTCTTGACTGTGGTCCCAGCTACTCATGAGGCTGAGGTGGGAGGATTGCTTGAGCCTGGGAGGCAGAGATTGCAGTGAGCCGAGATCACACCATCGTACCCCAGCCTGGTTGACAGAGTGAGACCCCATCTCAAAAAAAAAAAAAAAATGTACCTTAGGCCACAAAAGTCACAATGTGGCCTAGGTAGTACGAATTACAGCTTAGGTCTGTCTGGTTTTCAAGCTAGCACACCTTTTCTAAGACAAGCTAACATACTTATTTGCTAAGGGGAGAAATATAGCTTTCTATTTATTTCTGCAAGTGTCTTAATTTACCTCTTCCTGCTGGCCTTTTACATCCCTGAAATAATAAAAAAGTAATCCTGAGAATGTGGTGTGAGGTATTCACTGATATGCCTACCTTATGCCTAGTTGGGAATTGCGTGCACAGCCAAGATGTCTTTACATCACCGTGTCTTGTCCTTAGAAACCACCTTCGTCCTCTCATTTGCAGTTTAAGAGCATCTCCATCCCCACTATTGAGCTTACATCAACTCTAGAAGAGGGTAAGATTCCACCCAAGCTGGCCTTGTGGCTTGTTAGATCCTTGACCTTACTTTCTTCGGATGGTTTATTTGTAAGACATTTCTTTTTGATTTGTCAGTAAAACAAGAATGACTAGCAGCCACTCCCCATTCTTAGTGTGTTTTTATAGCCCTAAAAGGGCTGATTTAAGAAATGGTTTGACTCTCAAGGAAAGTTACCTGATCAAGGACACAGGCCTCATTACATGTCCCAGTTAAGGTGTGGCCTTGGTTTCAAAGAACAGCCAAGGGAAAATGTTAAAGAAGGAAACCTAGGCTTGGAGCCAGTCAATTCTTAATCTCAAAAGATAAGGGAGTCTAGAAAACATCCAGTGATATGGTTTAGCTCTGTGTCCCCACCCAAATCTTGTCTTGTAGTTCCCATAATTCCCATGCGTTGTGGGAGGGACCTGGTGGGATATTACTGAACCATGGTGGTGGGTCTTTCCCATGCTGTTCTCATGATAGTGAATGGGTCTCATGAGATCTGATGGTTTTTAAAATGGGAGTTTCTCTGCACAAGCTCTCTCTTTGCCTGCCACCATCCATGTAAGATGTGACTCGCTCTTCTTTGTTTTCCACCATGATTGTGAGGCCTCCCCCACCACGTGGAACTGTGAGTCCAATTAAATCTCTTTGTTTTGTAAATTGCCCACTCTTGGGTTTGTCATTATCAGCAGCATGAAAACAGACCGATATAACCAGTTATAACCCACTGTTTTATAGTTGAGGAAACTGAGGCTCAGGGACGCAAAAAAGATTTAAATTATTGCAGCTAGTGAGGGCAGAACCATGGCCTCTTTCTCACCCCCAGCTCTGCTCTTTTCTTCTCCCATTACCATTCAACAATCATCTGAGCCCCATGGGACTGAGCTGCAGTCTGCTGCCCAGGGCAGTCTGGGAGCAGCGGGGGCAGCTGCAGTAAGGGCTGAATGCCCTGTTGTCTGCTCGAGGGGCTATGTCTAATAGGAACTGACATTGGAGAATGCCTAAAAGGATGAGGAAGATTTTTTTTTCTGATAGAGAAGAGGGGTAGTTTAGGTCACATTGTGTATTAGTCTGTTTTCACACAGCTATAAAGAACTGCCTGAGACTGTGTAATTTATAAAAGAAAGAGGTTTAATTGGCTCACAGTTCTGCATGGCTGGGGAGGCCTCAGGAAACTGACAATCATGGCAGGAGGCGAAAAGGGAGGCAAGGCACGTCTTACATGGTGGCAGGCGAGAGAGAGAGCGTGTGGGAGGAAGTGCCACACTTTTAAACCATCAGATTTCATGAGATCTCACTCATTATCATGAGAACAGCAGGGCTGAAATCCACCCCCATGATCCCGTCACCTTCCATTAGGTCCTTCCCTCAACACATGGAGATTACAATTTGAGATGAGATATGGCGGGGGACACAGATCCAAGCCATATCACATTGTAAAGTTTCCCCAATGAGAGAATGCTTCTTACTATGTAAGGGGAATTATCAGGTGCTTTTGAGTGAAGGAGCATGACTGAATGATTAAGCAAGAGTGAGGGCTTTGGAGTTTGCAGTTTGTCACTTCTACCCGTGTGACCTCAGGCAGTCCATCTCCTCTCCCCCAGCCTGGCTTTCTCATTATAAAATGAGGGTCATGTTGGTACCTACCTTGTCAGGTTGAAGGAGGGTTAAACAAAGTCATGGGTACAGAATACTTAGCATGGTCCTAGGTGCCCAAAGCACTCAGTGCATCTTAGTTGGTGGTGGGTGTTATTCTCTACCTTTCCCTGTCCCAGGCATTCCTTTGCATCTCCTAAACCAGACACACCCACCCCAGCTCCCAAGGTATTTGGCCTGGGGACGAAGGCCAACCTGTCCCCGAGCACAGCACACTCAGACCTGCAGCCCATTCTCAACACATGCCTGGAATGCTTGCCTTATTGGTTTGAGAAACCCTGAGTTTGTTTTTGGAGTGTGTTGTCATTCTGTACATGATAATAGCTATAATAGCTAGCATTTATGTAACCCTTTATCCTTACAAAGCATCTTCACCTACATAATTTATTTGACCCTCAAAACAACCCTTTGAGATGGATATTTCATTCCCATCTTGTCTCCGGGGAAAATGAGTCTCTTGACTTCCTGGGTCTCATGATGTGCCGATTCCAGATCTCAGACTGAGCTTTTCACCAAGGGTGAGGCCCACCTTGGAAAGATGTGATTTAATCTATTTCTCTGGAAGATTCCCAATCTCCCATTTCCTAAAGATTCTCCTTAGCATAGAATTCTGGGATATAGAATTTTCTTTCACCACTCACTTTTTCTGAAGCAAGAGTTTTTTTTCATTCATAGCCCAGGGGGAGTTTCAGAGAGTAACTTTTCCTTTCAGCTAGTAACTCCCAATAATGGGAGGTCACAGGGTTCATGTTTCCCTACCAGAAGTCCAGAGGATAGTAGAGGTCAAGTCACTGCCTCTAGTTGCAATTATCTTGTCTAGACAAGATAAACATCCACACACAGGTAAGCGTTTGTAAGGTTATGTTTTACAAAGTAAGAAACAAATGTAAAAATGTACTCATTCAGCAGCTGAATGGAGACAGCAGCCCTCTTGCCATCTGGAATTTAATTGTTCCCCCCTCACCTTTTTTCTTTTTTGAGACACAGTCTTGGTCTGTCATGGAGTGCAGTGTTAAGATCTTGGCTCACTGCAACCTCCGCCTCCTGGGTTCAAGTGATTCCCGTGCTTCAGCCTCCCAAGTAGCTGGGATTACAGGTGTGAGCCAGCATGCCAGGCTAATTTTTTTGTGTTTTTAGTAGAGATGAGGTTTCACTATGTTGACCAGGCTGATCTTGAACTCCTGGCCTCAAGTGATCTGCCTGCCTCAGCCTTCCAAAGTGCTAGGGTTATAGACGTGAGCCACTGTGCCTGGCAACCCCCTTCTTCTTCTTCTTCTTTTTTTTTTAAATCAAGACTATAAAAATCATGATTTTTAAAATAATTCATTGTCCCTCATTTAAAGACCTGGATGAGAATCCTCCCAGTCCTCCTAAGCAAATTTTGTATATATATATATATTTTTGCTTGTTCTTTTTAGCATCCAATCGTGCCTGGTTGAATTTTTGAAATTTCTCTTAGATTTTTACATCTTCTGATCCCATTCTCTCATATAATTCCAAATTGTGGTGCTGGAGCAATCTTTGTCCAAATCCTGTGTGGTCCCTGGATGAAGTTAAAGGGTATCTTGGTTACCTTCCTCTCCTGAAAGCCCTGTTCTAAGGCACACTGGAAGTTTGCCTGTCTCTCTGCACGGAGGCAGTCTGACTCCTGCTCAGTTTGATTCATTCCGGACTTTACCACATGAATTCGAAATGGGCTAAAAAGGTTTGCTTGATGATTGATAAGATTTCCTCCTTTTTTCTTGTTCCAGGTTCCTATGCGGGGGCAGTGGTTGCTATGCCCCTGGCTGGGGTGTTGGTGCAGTACATTGGATGGTCCTCTGTCTTCTATATTTATGGTGAGTGATTTGACTCCACAAGTTCACATGTGACTCATAGAGATGGTATTTTACTGTATATGGGTTTGGCTAAGAGTTTATTACATCAAAATAGCAATTACTAAAACAAGTTTATTGTATAAATGGAATACTTTATCTGTGATTTGATTAATGTTTATATCAAAGTTGACTTAAAAAAAATAAGCAGAACATTGTCTTTCTTTAAATGCCAGTTAACAACAAGAGGAACATCAACAAAGTACTTTCCCCTACCTGAACACACTGCCATTTGGAAATATTGTAAAGATCCCTTTGTAGTTCAAAAGTGTGATAATTGAGTGTTCACATGCACATGTGAGATGTTTGAGTCCTTCAAACCTTGTCATGACACTGGCATGTTACCCATCTGACGTGAAAAAATAATATGGTAAAAATTGAAAAATTTAGAAATGAAAGAAAATGAGATCATATAATCAAGGCTTTTCTTTTTTAACTGCAGGTATGTTTGGGATTATTTGGTACATGTTTTGGCTGTTGCAGGCCTATGAGTGCCCAGCAGCTCATCCAACAATATCTAATGAGGAGAAGACCTATATAGAGACAAGCATAGGAGAGGGGGCCAACGTGGTTAGTCTAAGTGTAAGTATAAAAAGACAGATGAAGACTTGCTTCTTTTGATGAGTGATTGTGTTGTCTTCTTACAGAAAAAATGTCAACATCTTTACTAAAAATCTCATGGTATTTTTACTCCCTAGAAATTTAGTACCCCATGGAAAAGATTTTTCACATCGTTGCCAGTTTATGCAATCATTGTGGCAAATTTTTGCAGAAGCTGGACCTTTTATTTGCTCCTTATAAGTCAGCCTGCTTATTTTGAAGAGGTCTTTGGATTTGCAATAAGTAAGGTAAACACACAGATGCTTCAAATATTCTTGAACTTTAAATCTGTTGATTCTACAGAGAATAACTTTGCATGATAAAATAATTAAATTTCTAATAGTAATTCATAACAGTTCTGTGACACCTAATAGTCTGGCTGTCCGGCAAGTTATACATTCTATGCATAGTATGCATAGCTATTTAATTTCTTCTTAGCAAGGATCAGAGCTGTATTAAACTGCTTTAAAGATTTATGGCTTACCCAATTTCAAAGTGGTTTTGAAGCTAGCTCAAGGACGGCATATTAGGCAAGGATAAAAAGATTTGAGGGTATGGGTTTTCTTTTTGTCCTGTAAGCTACTTGTTGAGTAGCAGTGAGAGCCTTACCACTCATTTTGCAGACCACCCCCTCTCCATAATGGTGGCTATGGCAGTAACAATCATTGTTTGCAATGGTTTAGGAAGAACCTCTTTCATCCAGGTGTGGTGGCTCACGCCTGTAATTCCAGCAATTTGGGAGGCCGAGGCGTGTGGATCATGTGAGGTCTGGAGTTTGAGACCAGCCTGACAAATATGGCGAAACCCTGGCTCTACTGAAAATACAGAAATTCGCCAGGCATGGTGACGTGTGCCTGTAATCCTAGGTACTCGGGAGGCTGAGACAGGAGTATCACTTGATCCCAGGAGGCAAAGGTTGCAATGAGACAGATTGCATCATTGCACTCCAGCCTGGGCAACAGAGCAAGACTTTGCCCCACTCCAAAAAAAAAACAAAAAAAAAGAAAGAACCTCTTTCAGTGCTCCCGGACATTATCATCAGGCCAATTGCGTTTTAGGGAGGAAAGGTGTGGATAGTGAATCATAAACCATCATCATAAGATAATTAAACATCTTTTCCACAAGGGAAAGAACAGTAGCCAAGCAGACACAAATGTCTACCTAGCTACAGAACTGTCAGAAGTGACCATGGAAGAGCTGGCATAGTAATGGTGGCTGCCATCAGTCATCAGTGCTCACTGGATGCCAAGTGCTTTATCTCCCATATGCCATGCCCTCTGTGATGAATAAAAGTCATCTCTGCCCTCAAGGAGCTTCCAATCTGGTGGAGGCCTAAATTCATTCACTCATTTGTCATTTATTTATTATGAAATTCAGGCCTACCCAGATCCCATATAATTAGATGCTTAAATTTGGTGGTGGTAGGTAGGGGGGCTGTGAAGTGGAGCTGGGTAAGGGAATTAGGGAGGCCCCTCTCTCAGAAGTAATGACAAATTGCTGATTGTTTCTTTCCCTTCCAGGTGGGCCTCTTATCAGCAGTCCCACACATGGTTATGACAATCGTTGTACCTATTGGAGGACAATTGGCTGACTATTTAAGAAGCAGACAAATTTTGACCACAACTGCTGTCAGAAAAATCATGAACTGTGGAGGTACTATGGATTTCATAAATGGCTTAGGCAGCTTTTGTAGAATTAGAGTAAACAGAAATGCAGAGCATATATTAGAGGTAATATTTAGTCATTGGAATGGATCTTAAGGACTCCTAAGTCTGTCCCTCAGCAGATACTTGAGTGTTACCCATCACACTGCTGCCAAGTGGTCAGCAAGCTGGGACCCTTCCATACATCCCTCCACGTGTATTGTTTGCTTATGTAGTTTATTCCCTTCTCTCCTTCTTACCTTTCTACCTATCCATATGTTTTGGTAAGAAGCAGAAGAAAACTAGCCTCTCCGCCTAGCCTATACTTGTGCATAGGGTATATACGCGCGCGCGCGCGCGCACACACACACACACACACACACACACACACATACACACAAATACACATACACCTTTCTCTTTCCTGGTTTATTTAGCTTGTGCTGTATTTTTTTTAATTTTGTAAAGACAAAGTGGATGTTAGGTGATTTCCCAAAAGAGGTAGGTGAAAGTAATTGTCAATCCCTGCAATGTTCACGAGTGCTTTTTAAAAAAACATATTTTTGTTTTTCTTTTAAAATTAACATTTATTGAATACTTTCTGTGCTAGACACTAAGCTAAATATTTTACATACATTATCTTATTTAATCTTCATAACCACCATGTGGAGCAGGTACTGTTACTATATGCAATTTGCAATGAGGAAACAGGGGTAAAATAAAGGGATGTGCTCAAGTGGCAGATCCCTGCAAGGTATCAGGTCAGCCGGAGCCCACTGTCAAAGCTCTTAGTTTGCTGCTACCCCTCCAGAGGACTATCGTCAGGATGAGCGGCAGGAGGTAGAGGATAGCGTCACCTATGGGCAAGAGCTCACAATTCTCATATTAAATTGAAAGGGACGGATTGCGCATGCTCTGACAGATTAGGTAGGCCTGGCAAATTTAGAAGTGAGGACTATAACCAGGGACACAGGAGCAGGCATAATCTGATCCCACAGCATTTCGGGAAGAGAGCCTAAGAGCCTGTTGGCATCTGTTCTCCCAGCTGCTTGACTGCTGGTCCTGGGCAGGGATGTGTGGGCCTGACCTTAGCTTGAACTTTCCTGTAGGGGACTGAGGGTTAGCAGATGTAGGCCTGCTGTCTGGTGGGCAGGAGGTGAAGCTCTGGGATATTGCATTCAAGTCCTCTCCAAGGGAGCTGTAGCAGGCAGAATAACATCCAAATCCCAATCCTTGGAAGCTGGGAATACTTTTCCTCACATGCCAAAAGGGACTTTGCAGGTGGGATTAAATTGAGGTTCTTGAGTTGGGCATTTATCCTGCATTATCTGGGTGGGCCTGATATAATCACAATAATCCTTATAAGAGGAGGAAGGAGGGTTAGAGTCAGAGAAGAAGATGTGATGGTTGAGGCAGGAGTCAGAGGGATGCAGCCACAAGCCAAGGAATGTAAGCAGACCCTAGAAGCTGGAGAAGACAAGAAGAGATTCTGCCATAGCGCCTCTAGAAGGAATGCAGTTCTGTAGGCTGCCGCCTTGACTTTAGCCCTGTACCATTTTGGATTCTTGGCCTCCAGAACTGTATGGTAGTGCAGAGCATATTTTAGAGGTAACATCTAATCATTGTAATAGATCTTAAAGACCCTTTAGTCTACCCCTTAGCAGACACTCGATATTGGTGTTATTTTGAGCCACTAAGCTTGTAGTAATTTATTACAGCAGCAAATGAAAACTAATACGGTAGTAGGCCTGGTGCAATGGCCCATGACTGCCATCCTGGCACTTCAGGAAGCCAAGGTGGGCAGATCACTTGAGCTCAGGGGTTCGAGATCAGCCAGGGCAACATAGTGAGAACTCATCTCTATTCAAAAATAAAAAATTTTAAAAATGAAAACTAATACAGTAGCCAAAGCCTCACCCTGTTAATGATAAAACTCTGTTCCAGCTGAACAGCCGTCACCCAAGCCCTGAACATATCTTTGTCTCTGACTTTGCCTATTCCCTTTCTCTTTCCCTGTGAGTTCACACCTTCACCTCTCACCCCAGTCCTCTCTACTCATCAAGCTCAATTCTTCTCCTCTTGTGTTTCCTTAAAGCCATGCCATTCTCCAGTGATCCCTCTGAATATGTCCACATGGCTAGATTGGCAATGCATCATGTGCTGTCTTGTTACAGCTCTCTTAGGAAAAGATTTTAGGCAGAGGAACTAGCATGTGCAATGACCCTGGGGCAGACAGGAATGTGGCATGTGTGAGAATAGAAGGAAGGGGAGTCAGAATGGTTGAGTTACAGAAGATGGGATCAGGATGTTTGTCTGGGGTCAGATCTTGGTCGGCCTTGTCCGCACATGCAGAGCTTGGGTTTTATTTGAAGTACACTGAGATGCAGATGATATAAAACATGGAGCAGATATGATCTGATTTTTTTTTTTTTTTGAGACAATCTTGCTCTGTTACCTAGACTGGAGTGCAGTGGTGTGATCTCAGCTCCCAGCAACCTCCGCCTCTTGGGTTCAAGTGATTCTCCGGCCTCAGTCTCCTGAGTAGCTGGGATTATAGGCGTGGGCCACCACACCTGGCTAATCTTTTGTATTTTTGTAGAGATGGGGTTTCACCATGTTGGCCAGGTTGGTCTCGAACTCCTGACCTCAAGTAATCTGCCTGCCTCAGCCTCCCAAATTGCTGGGATTACAGGCGTGAGTAACTGCACCCAGTCTGATTTACTTGTTTTTACTCTGGGGAATCATGCAGGGTACAAGAGTAAAAGAAGGGAGACCAGGTAGGAGGCGATTTCAATTGTCCTGCCTAGAGAAGATGGCGGCCTGGACAAATGTGATGGCAATGGAGATGGAGAGAGGGGGGTCGAATTCTAAATTCTTGGGGCCAACATTTCCCATCTTTAAAATCTACATGATAGTATTTACTTCAGAGGATAGTTATGAGAGTTAAATGAAACGATGTATAAATGCACCTAGTGCAGTGTTCAACCTATAAAAAGTTCTCAACAAATGTTAATGCTGTTCGTCTTCTCCAGTGTTCAAGATACAAAAACACAGACGTGTTTCAAAGAGTTTTTTTTAGCAAGTATCTGCTATTTAATTGTATTTCCCTTGGCCAAAAACATGTACTTCTAAACCAGCAACTTTAAAGAAGGCTCTGGATTTAAACAGTATTTGCACAATCTCTTCTAACCCCAGATGCACTAGAGATTCTTGAGCATATTTTGTGGGAATGTCTTGTTCCTATTTAATTCTGCCCTAATACCTCTGCTGTTTCTCCTTAATTGGTGGTGATGATGTTGTGTTGTGTTCTGGTGATGAGAACTCTCAAAGGTGTTTAATTGCTAACAAAGTGCCTGTTGAGAGGAATAGATTTTTTCTGCAGAAACTAGAAGACATATGTGGAATCTTTCTGCCTCATCTCCCATCTTTAAAAAACTGCCTCTTCACATGGCTTTTCATGTTGTTTTATATTTTGTTATAGTAGGACCAGTGAGTTATAGATAGAAAACAAAATGTTAAAAAAGACCAAAATGGTCCCACTTTTTCTGCTTAAATACAGAAATACTAGACCAGAGATAACTACATGAAAACAAAGTTTTGTGCCATCACTGAAGAATGCAGGTTGATTTGGAAATGATGAAGATCTGGTATGATCTTCCAGAGAATTTTGGTTGGTGATTTGGTTTCCTAATAAGAAATATAGAAGGCATTTCTCATCTGAGAAGGATGACACATATCTTAGAGCCTGATATCTTTTCTTTCCCGTTGATTTTTATGTGCCATTAAATTCATTTGAAGCAAAAAAAGATCACCTTAAGACATGATGTTCAATTCTAGTTCATTCTGAATCAGGGTCCACATCCATGATACTTAAAGACAGTTGCCAAATTCTGGTACTGCCCCCTCTATACAATGTGTAAAGTGTGACTGAAGTCAAAAATTCTATTCTGGCTGAATCAGTTGCATATGTGAACTTCAGACAGTTTTAATAGGAAATAAAATATTTCTTAGGCCTTTAAGTCCTAGTTTTGTTTCTCTTGGCAACTCTAAATAGGTTCAGTTTTAAAGATCTCCTGATTACCCCTAAAGCACAAATTTTATCTTTGAGCTCCTGAAACATACGGTCCTGTCTCTAGTATTTTAACTGTCAATAAAAACCATTTAGGCTCTTAAATACTCTTTTCCCTTTGGAATCTGCTAACTCTTTGGCCAAACTCTTTTTTTTCTTACAGATGAACCGATGTATCACTTCTAAGTTTTATTCTTTACACAATGTCATCATTCTAATTCTTTGGACGAATTAACCTTCTGCACTCTCAACACTTCTGCTGAGAGCGTTAAAATAAAAGAAGTTTCAGCCTTGTTATTTAGAATAAGCCACTTCTAAAACACATATAGTTAGAATATGAAACACTAGCAATTTTTCCCTATGTGTAATCTTATATGTTGTAATAAAATTAAGAACAAATAGCAATGGTATAAAGCCGATAGTTTTAAAAGTATGACTTCCCTAATTATATTTCATCATATTATTTAGAAGTCATTTAAAACAATTATTAGTTCTTGCTCTTCTTTGTAGTACTGTTGAAGAAATAGGTTCAAAAAGGTAAGTAATAATAAGTAAACTATCATTTATGATAAGTACTTTAGCTTGTAAACCTTATTTTCTTGATTTTGAGTCCCATTCCTTTCCTTTGCATTAATTCATTAAATGTTATTTATTTATTTAGAGACAGAGTCTCGCTCCGTTGCTCAGGCTGGAGTGCAGTGGTGCAATCTCAGCTCACTGCAACCTCTGCCTCCTGGGTTCACGTGATTCTGCCGCCTCAGCCTTCCAAGTAGCTAGGATTATAGGCACATGCCACCATGCCTGGCAAATTTTTGTAGTTTTAGTAGAGAAGCAGTTTTGCCATGTTGCCCAGGTTGGTCTCAAACTCCTGACCTCAGGTGATCTGCCTGCCTTGGCCTCCCAAAGTACTGGGATTTCAGGTGTGCACCACCACGTCTGGCTAAACATTATTTATTGAGTGCATACTACGTGCTAGCCAGACTCTGTGTTAAATATACAGTTTTGTGGGAGAGGCAGAAATAGAAATGAAAAATTACGAAGCAATATTGAAAAGTTCTATAAAATAATGAGGTGATGACAGCTTCATCGGTGGAGGGTAGGGAGAGGGTTATTATGGAGGTTTTCTAGAGGAGACACTTTAATCTGCGCTTTAAAAATGGTAAGATTTATCCAGAAACAGAGAAGGTAGTGAGAGAAGAGTTCCTAGGTAAAGAAACAATGTATGGGCACGAGACAGTGTTGTGTGGTTAGAAAACAGCTAATAGTGCAGTAACTGTACAGCACAGAGGGCTGCCTATGGAATGGGGGCAGTAAGCAAAGAGATGAGTGCTGGAAGAAGATGAAACTGGAACAGCAGGAGGGATTTATTAGAGAACATTATACTCGTGATGTGGCGCCCATGACAAACACGTTAAGCACAGGAGCGACTAATGGAGTGTGAGGCTTAGAGAGACCGTGGTATTGAGAATGCGTCAGAGGAGGATGAGTTGGAATGACTACCAATGTGGCTTGTTGTGGCTGGGCATGGTGGCTCAGGCCTGTAATCCTAGCTTTTTGTGAGGCCAAGGTGGGCAGATCGCCTGAGGTCCGGAGTTCGAGACCAGCCTGGCCAACATGGCAAAACCCGATCTCTATTAAAAATACAGAAATTATCCAGGTGTGGTGGTGGGTGCTTGTAATCCCAGCTACTGGAACCCAGGACGCAGAAGTTGCAATGAGCTGAGATTGCACCACTGCACTCCAGTCTGGGTGACAGAGCGAGACTTCATCCCAAAAAAATAGAAGAAAAATAAGTGGCTTATTGTAGTTGTCCTGGTAAGAGGTCACAGGGCCCAGGACTAAAGCAGTGACAGAGGAGGGGAAAGGGGCAGTTGGACAGGACAGATATTTCCGAGGCCAAACCTGCAGATTTGCATGTGAAAGCTGAGGCAGGAGGAGAAGTCCAAGGCAGTTCGGAAGCTTCTGCGTTGGACTTCTGGCTGCCATTTGTTGAGCTGTGCCCATGTGCCACACTCAGTACCTCATATACCAATTTCATTTACTCTTCCAGCGCCCTACAAGGCTGTGGTTTCATCTCCATCTTTTGGATGAGGAATCTAGGAGATGTAGTAACTTGTTCAAGGCCACACAATTACTGAGCTTGAAGTGGAAAGTGAATCCATACCAGTTTGACTCTAAAGATTTGGTTCTAAACACAGATGATAGAAGAGTAGAGAAGAAGAGGAAAGAACATGGTGCTGGCGGCTTGCCTTGTTCGTTTAGGAGTGAAAAATAGGGAAAGAGGCCTGGGGTGGTGGCTCACGTCTATAATCCCAGCACTTTGGGAGGCTGAAGTGGGTGGATCACATGAGGTCAGGAGTTCGAAATCAGCCTGGCCAACATGGCAAAACCCCAACTCTACTAAAAATACAAAATTAGCCGGTGTGGTGGCACATGCCTGTAATCCCAGCTACTTGGGAGGCTGAGGCAGGAGAATCACTTGAACCTGGGTGGTGGAAGTTGCGGTGAGCTGAGATCGCGCCATTGCACTCCAACCTGGGCGATAAGAACAAGACTCCATCTCAAAATAAAAATAGGGGAAGAGAGAATTGATTTGGGCATGTTGCCTCTGAGGTACTGTAGGACAATTGTGTGGAGATGTTGGGAATCAGCAGATAGTCTCCAAATGAAGCACCACTAATTGTCTCTCCCCCTCCTAGGGCACTCTGTATACTTGGAAATGATATTTATATCATTTTTCTGTCTGTTGTTGGCTGAACTTTTTTTTTTCTGGTGAGAAGGAACTTCTTCATAATTTCCTCATCCTTTTTGTTTTTTTATTGTGCTAGATTTACTTATTCTGAATGAAAGGAACAGAAAGTACTTTTGTTCTGCAATATTTTCTGTGCAAAAATCTCATGTATTCTTTGTTGTTTTTTAAGAGGCATGAGAGCTTGATGAACTTCTGAAGCAGAAAAATTTTGACTTATGCTTTACAAGTGGTGAAGTGCTATGTTTTGTTTCAGATATTTGCTACAGTTTTCTGGTTGCTTTTGGCAATAAATATTAGAGTGTTGTCATTTTACTTTTATGGGAAAGGCCATAACTTAACTAGTCAAAGGGGGATCATTAACACAGTTATATAGTAGAGTTTTAGTATTTAACAATGGCAGGGGCAGCTACACATGACACAACTAATAATTAACATCCCTCATCCCAGGAGCATCATTGGAACCTATTGTGACCGTGTGGTGTTAAAGGTGCATGAGGACAATGTTAGAAGGTTCATGAACACCCAGGGAATATTACTATAGTCATATAGTCATGAAAGACCTGGGTAGCATTATAAGCACTGTACCGGAATGTAGGTCTGTGGAGGAACAGAAAACCAAACACTGCATGTCCTCACTCATAAGTGGGAGATGAACAATGAGAACACATGGACACAGGGAGGGGAACATCCCACACCAGAGTCTGTTGAAGAGGAAGAAAAGGAAGAGCATTAGGACAAATACCTAAGGCATGCGGTACTTAAAACCTAGATGATGGGTTGATAGATGCAGCAAACCATCATGGCACATATATACCTATGTAACCTGCATATTCTGCACATGTATCCTAGAACTTAAAGTAAAATAAAACAAACAAAACAAACTTAGGTCTGTAGAAATATAGGTTAGTTCTTATTTGATAAATAAATGAACTTCAGTTGACTGATATGAAAATGACATTTTTCCCCCCTTTCTGTTTCCATTTGCAGGTTTTGGCATGGAGGCAACCTTACTCCTGGTGGTTGGCTTTTCCCATACCAAAGGGGTGGCTATCTCCTTTCTGGTGCTTGCTGTAGGATTTAGTGGCTTTGCTATTTCAGGTAACGTGTCCTTTGGGTTTCCAGATCTTGACTATAGATTCAACAAGTCCCAGCAAGAAGGAAGGACAAGGATATTGTAGCATCTGCTTTCAGTAGCCAGTCCATTCTCAGGGAGCAGGACCATCACCCAGAGAATGTCATCTAGAGAAGGTGATTTTGTAAGATCTCTGAGAACTGGGCTTAGGAGCCCAGTTAAGGTGGTTTTACTACTTACTTCGTTATGGAAAAAGGCACAAAGTGCAGGTGACCCTTCTGAGACATGAGCAGAGGCTCAAGCATATGTCCCAGGTGAAGTGGACTTTCGCACTCAGCACCATGACACCCTACCTAACAGAGGCTCCTGTGACTTTTTCAAGCCTCACCTTTCGCTAGAGAACTGCTAGTGTCATTACAGTCATAAAATCAGAAGTTTTTCTGAGAGTGAAAACCTTCTTTAGATTTTTTTCTACCGCATTGCTTTCATTTTTCAAACAAGAAAATACAGGTCCAGAGAGGGGGAAGTGACTTTCTGAACAGGGTAAAGCTGGTAAGAATAATGACAATGATGACATGAGCTAGCGATGAACAAGCACAGATTCTGTGCTGCAGACCGTTCCAAGCCATCTGTGTATATTAAGCCCTGTCTTTCTCACAACTACCCTAGTGGGTATCAGTGCTGTTACGATCCCCATCTTACAAAAGCAGAAACCAGTCTACTGCATGTCTGAGAGAGGCCAGGGTGCAATCATATCAGAAGCTTCTTATGCAAAACTGGGTGAAAGAGTGAAATTTGGTAGTTTGTCTATCTTCAAAGCATTGTAAAACATTGCCCGGTTATTGGCTGGGTGCAGTGGCTTACACATATAATCCCAGCACTTTGGGAGACGGAGGCGAATGGATCACTTGAGCCCAGGAGTTCGAGACCAGCCTGGGCATCATGGCAAAACTGCATCTCTACAAAAAATACAAAAAGTTAGCCGAGTGTGATGGCACACACCTGCAGTTCCAGCTAGTCAGTAGGTTGAGGTGAGAGGATGGCTTGAGCCTGGGAGGTGGAAGTTGCAGCGAGCTGAGCTTGTGCCACTGCAGTCCAGCTGGGATGACAGAGAAAGACCCTGTCTCAAGAAAAAAATAAGTAAATAAAATAAAAATTAAAAATTGGTTAAAAATGTTTTACATATGTTGCATATATCTCACAACATTGTGAAGCAAGTAGTAGTATATCACTACATTACTGATTTTTCACTATTTTACTAAAGCTCAGAAAAATTTGGTACTTTCCCAATGTCACATAGCTGGTGGCAAAGGAAGGATGAAAGAACGGTTCTGCCTGGCCCAAAGCCTGTGCTCCTTCCATTATTCCAGGCTGCCTTAAATATCAAATAGAGCGTTAGTGTCCCAGAATAGAAAAATATGGAACCTCTGGTCTAAACTGCCCTAAGGCCGGGGCTTGTATCTATCAAAATAAATAGAGCTGATGAACAGTTAAATTAGAAGAGAAAGTAAAAGTCCAAATTAAAAGTAACTTGCAGCTAAGGAGTTAGGTTTGGAGATGTGTAGACCTGGGTTGGAGGCCTTCTTTACTGCTTAACGATTTATAAAAAAAATTTTTTTTGCTAAATTATGAAAACCCTCAAGCTTCAGTTTTCTCATCTAGAGGTTGGAGAGATAAAACAGCAACTTCATGGGGTTGCTGGGAGATGAACTGAGATCATTCATGCGTCTCCTCTTACTTCTTGTGGGCTGGGCATTATTCTTAGCACTGGGAGTATTGTAGTGAACAAATGAAAGATTTCACTCCCATAAAGTTTACATTCTACTGGAAATATTTATTCAAATAAAGGCCTTAGCTTTATTTATTTGAAGCTCTTACAGTGCCAGATGCATAACAAAATTAACAAGTATTCACCATTATTGTTCTATTAGTACACACTCCAGCTCAGTGCTTCTCAAAGTGTTATGTGAAATCACCCTAGGATATTTCAGAATGCAGATTCTGAAATTTGGTAGCTCTAGGGTGGAACCTGAGATTCTGCATTTCTAGCAAGCTCCCCAGCGCCACTGCTGCTGCTGCTGCTGCTGAGTTCACACTTTGAGTAGCAAGGGCAGAGCAATCATGACTTGCTTCCAGTAGGATGCTGAGGAACACCTTCACTTGATAACTTTGTGATGCAAAAGAGATCCATATCCTGTTCCCAGAGATACTGAAATGTTCAGGTTCATAGTGCTTCCTTTCTCCCAATTGCCAATTAAGTCACAATCTGTAGGAGAAAAACCCAATACTCCAAATCACAGCAGCTGCCTTTTTTTTTTTTTTTAAACAGGGTCTCTTGCCTTGTGCAGTGGCTCATGCCTATAATCCCAGCACCTTTGGGAGGCTGAGGCAGGTGGATCACCTGAGATCAGGAGTTCGAGGCTATCCTGGCCAACATGGTGAAACCCGTGTCTGCTAAAAATACAAAAATTAGATGATTGTGGTGGTATGTGCCTGTAGTCCCAGTTACTGGGGAGGTTGAGGCATGAGAATAGCTTGACCTGGCAGGCAGAGGTTGTAGCGAGCCAAGATTGTACCACTGCACTTCAGTCTGGGTGACAAAGAGAGACTTTGTCTCAGAAAAAAAATAGAGTCTTGCTCTGTCACTCAGGCTGGAGTGCAGTGGCATTATCACAGATCATTGCAGCCTTTACCTCCCATGCTCAACTGATCCTTCTGCCTCAGCCTCCTGAGTAGCTGGGCTACAGGCGTGTGTCACCACGCCCAGCTATTTTAAAACAACTTTTGAGGCAGGGTCTCACAATGTTGCCCAGGCTGGTCTCAAACTCCTAACCTCAAGTGATTCTCCTGCCTCAGCTTCTCAAAGTATTGAGATTACAGGTGTGAGCCACCATGCCTGGCTTGCTTGCCACTTTTTAAACATGATTTCATTCAATCCCCATTGCAACCTTGATGAGAAGGGTATTGCTGTATTCACTTTATTGGTGGGGAAACCAAAGTGTGGTTTAACTTGCCCAGTGAGTGGCTGGGAGTAGAATAAAGGTCTCTTGGTCCCAAGAATGACACTATGGGAGGGATTGTGGCCACAGGGGCAATAATTCCTCCAGATCTATGTCTGCCACTTTTAAAGGAATAAACATGGATGCCAGGGAAGACTGACTGGCACAATTTAGAAGCTCATTATAGACAAGACTGCTGAGATAGATGAGGTTAAAAATAGGAAAGGGATGAGTGATGCCTGTTTTGGGAAATGTCCTGGACAGAGAAGACAGATTCTCTCCGTTTGTGTGTAATTTTTTTCATCTACTATAACAATCTATCAATATCTCAGTATCTCAGTGATTCCCCCACCCCACCCAAATGCCAGGATTGTGCAGCTAAAAACCTAAATGGCTTTTCCCACATTACCTTTAGCTGAGCACAGATGCCCAGGCTTTGTATCAGAGCATGATGCTCAACAATCTTATTAATTGCTTCTTATCTCTAGATTCTTTTCTAATAAAGTGTTTATTACATTCCAATCAACAGTAAGATTAATGAACTTGCAACTGTTTTATATTCTGATCATTTGGCACGTTGACCTGAAAGAGAAGGTATGTTTATTACCAAAAAGTTTTCTCAAAAATTCTCTCTGAAGGGAGGTATTTTTGTGCCAGATTAACAACCAACCAATGTGCCAGATTAGACCAACAAATGTTTTAAATCCTATTTTCAGGTTCTTTGCACAGAATAGAGAAGTGAAAAGCAAAGTAAAGAAAAACAAAAGGATGAATAAAACCTACAACCCCTTGCTATAATTTCAGTAGCTGAAGTTGGTAATTAATTTAACAATTATTTATTGAGTGACTACAATGTGCCAGACAGTTTGCTAGTTCAGGGAAGGTGCTAGGAAACAAGAAGGATGGGTAACCACCTGGAAAGAGCATGCATATTGGTTTTCACGTCTATGCACCATGTAGTTAATATACATTATTTAACTTAATTCCTACAACAATTTTATAAGAATGGTTACCTCATTGTATAGATGACAAAACTGAGGTTCAGGAAGTTTAAATCCTTGGTCTAGGCTTGCATCTCAAGCTGCCAGACTGAGGTCTGTCTGACTGGAACATGCACCCCTGGAATATGCTGACAAAGTTGGTTTACAGTGCCTTAAGCTTCCTCTTTTATAGACTTGCTTTCCATGCCTTCAATCCTCCCCGCTCACTCCACTCATTTCTCTCTCCTGATAAATGGATTAATTGTGAGTTGGCGACTTATAATTTTACCACTTTCAGCATTATTATTACTATTATTAGACGGAATCTTGTTCTGTCGCCCAGGCTGGAGTACAGTGGCACAGTCTCAGCTTACTGCAACCTCTGCCTCCTGGGTTTGAGCGATTCTTCTATCTCAGCCTCCCAAGTAGCTGGAATTACAGGCATGTGCCACCATGCCTGGCTAATTTTTGTATTTTTAGTAGAGACAGGGTTTTGCCATGTTGGCCAGGCTGGTCTCAAACTCCTGACCTCAGGTGATTCTCCCGCCTTGGCCTCCCAAAGTGGTGGGATAATAGGTGTGAGCCACCATGCCTGGCCAGCAGCATTATCTTTTGATAGAAGACCTCAAAGAGAGGGAGTTACTTGGCAGTGGCAGCAGAAGGTAGTAGTAGTAGTAGGAGGAGGAGGAGGAGTAGCCGTAGTAGTAGCAGTAGTGATAGTTAGTATAGCTTTGATATTTGCCGAGGGCTTCACATACCTATTTCCCCTGAGTCTCTATCACAGCATCTTTATGAAGTGAGTAGTAATATTATCCTCATATTGGAGATGAAGAAACAAAGGCTCCCAGATTACTTGTTTACATAGCAGAAATAAGATTCAAGTCCAGATTTACAGACTGCAAACCAAGTAGATGTGTGAAAGTGTTTCATAAATGACAGAAGGTTCTGCCAATGTTTGTGCAAATGTTTCATTGAAAAGTACCCTTTTTCAATGTGTGAAAATGTGGTTATGTGGCCAATAAAGTTGGATTACTCTTGGCTGCCTTTTAAGAGTGAGTCAGGGGTAGGAGCAAGAATTTTATGAGGCAAGATTTGGGTCTAATCATACTGTATGTGATTGTGTAATTCTTTACTCTGCCTAAATGTGATTCAGGCTTTAGGCTTTTCAATATTGCACCAAACACCGTATTTTGGAATTCAGAACCTATAAGGTAGAGATGCCATAATTCTCCTTGTAGAGAGAGCCCACGGTAGATATCGATAATCAATTCCAGCATTATCTACTGGTGTTGCTTTGTGCAAACACAGCCTCATGAACCCAATTCTCTTGGTCTGGAAACTAATATCCATCAGTCATATGCTAGAGGAAACCAAACAGATTGGTGAAAGTTGGGGCAACTATTTTCCAAAGTGTATTTGGAATTGTGTTCTTGACTGATTTTGAGGTTTTGACTTCACTGTAGGTTTTAATGTCAACCACCTGGACATTGCCCCCCGCTATGCCAGCATTCTCATGGGGATCTCAAATGGAGTGGGAACCCTTTCTGGAATGGTCTGTCCCCTCATTGTCGGTGCAATGACCAGGCACAAGGTAAAGGTCTCCTTTGTGGCTGTGGGTTACAGTATCGGAGGACTAGAGCACTACACAAACTTTGGATTTCAAAGCTCTACTGCAGTGTGTAAATGTGTATGTCCTTGACCTTGACTGAGTCAGCTGAATTTCTTTTTTCTTTCTTTCTTCTTCTGATTTTCAAATCATTGTTTATCAATGGCACCAAGGCTAATTGTTTTGTTCTATGTTTTCTCAGTTGAGGAATAAAAGTCTGGAAAGAGGGGTATGGGCTATAGAAACTGTTTAGAGACACAAAGAAGAAACTGAGGCAGTCAACCTGGGATAAATGAGTTATTGAAGTTTGTTTTCTCATTCTCAGTGACTAAACTTTATATCCATCCATTGCTTAGCATGTTTCAGCATATAAAGATGAGTGCTGTTACACTTCCTAGTTAAGAATAAAATAAACAGGACATTAATAACCCACCCAAAGTTGCTACTGAGCCTTTGTGATTTTAGACTAGGTTGGGTGGTAGAGGATGATCATCCAGAGTTCACTCACAGCCCATGTGATTTCTTTATCTTTGTCATTGAAACATCTCGAGATGCTGCTTTCTGCAAATAATAATTCTTTCATACCATGGAATATTTTCCCCCAACTATTTTCTTAGTTGGATTAGCTATTACAAATACACCTTCAAAAGTTTTTTGAGCTTCCTGCAGAAGAAAGTGTGAGATAAATTTTCCTACTTTTTGGCAGAAAAGGAAGGTAGGATTTTATAGCCAGAGAATTCATGTTTTCCCTCTCTGTTCATGAAATGATGGGATTGATATGATGACTATTAAATCCAAGATGTCTTTCCCGAGTCTTAGACACAAATTCTCAGTATTTTTGATTACTTTTTTTTTACACTGTAAATATGATTATAAATAAAATTCCTGTCAGTCAAGGGTGAGAACTTTAATGGTTCAAATATTGTTATGTATCCAACAACAAGCAAGGAGACTTCTGATATTTAAAATGGTGGGTTCCTAAAACAAGTTTAATTTAGCTGACTATGTGAAAGGAAACCCAATTTGCATATTCAAAAAGCTATGCAACGGTGCTACATGTATTAGTATTTTTATGTGTTGTTTATTTTAAAATGTATTTTCTAAATTACAAAAATATATATTTATTGTCATGTCTAACTTTCATATTCATTGTAGTCTTAACTTTCTTTCTATTTTTTTTTTTTTTTTTTTTTTTGAGACATAGTCTTGCTCTGTCCCCAGGCTGGAGTACAGTGTACAATCTGGGCTCACTGCAGCCTCCGCCTCCTGAGTTCAAGCAATTCTCCTGCCTCAGCCTCTCAAGTAGCTGGGACTACAGGCATGCACCACCATGCCCAGCTAATTTTTGTATTCTTAATAGAGACAGCGTTTCACATGTTGGCCAGGATGGTCTCCATCTCCTGACCTTGTGGTCCGCCCGCCTCGGCCTCCCAAAGTGCTGGGATTACTGGCATAAGCCACTGTGCCTGGCCTTAAGTTTCATTTTTGAACATTTTCTTTTAAATTAGGTTTGAATCCTAGATGGTGCTTCTGACAGATGTCCTCCCCGCCAAGGAGCAGAGGAGCACTGCCTCCCACATGGGCAGGTACTTTTTCCCAGTGGAGGCCTCCAGGACATACTGGTAATCTCTGGTTTTAGTTAAAACATAAATAATTGGCACTTTATTTCCTTATTTAGACCCGTGAAGAATGGCAGAATGTGTTCCTCATAGCTGCCCTGGTGCACTACAGTGGTGTGATCTTCTATGGGGTCTTTGCTTCTGGGGAGAAACAGGAGTGGGCTGACCCAGAGAATCTCTCTGAGGAGAAATGTGGAATCATTGACCAGGATGAATTAGCTGAGGAGACAGAACTCAACCATGAGAGTTTTTCGAGTCCCAGAAAGAAGATGTCTTATGGAGCCACTGCCCAGAATTGTGAAGTCCAGAAGAAGGAATGGAAAGGACAGAGAGAAACGACCCTTGATGAGGAAGAGCCAACATTCTACCAGAATGAAGAGAGAAACTTCTCAGCTACGTCCTAATGTCTGAGGGGCACTGCGACAGGGAAAAGAGAAATATTATCTTTCAATGACACACATAGGTAAAAAGCTGTGCTCAGTTGGTAAAATAGTTCATAATACATATTTTTTGAATTGACAGTTGACCCTTCTCTCAAAGAGCTGACCTTATTCAGAAAGGAATGACTAGAAGAAAAAGGAGACAATACCATGTTGTTCAAAGAAACATAGAAGGAAATGGGGATATTTGGGCAGAAGGAATGTAAACAATAGCTACCACCACATCTCTAGGGTAGCCATGCAGAGGAGGGCCTCATATTCCCAATGAACCCCACATTGTGGCAGGTGCTGTATAAACACTCTTATTTAATCTCTGCACCTTTACGACACACATTTCTTATCCCATTTTACCACCAAGGAAACTAAAGCAACAAGATATGAACTTGCCAAGGTCATCTGCCAGGGTCAGTGCTGAGATTGTTGAAGCCCCCAGTAGGTGGCAGTTCTAGGGAAGAAGATTTCCACTCAGTGTAGGGAAGACATTTGTAATAATGAAAACTGAAAATGGAGTAATTGTGAGTAATTCACCATTTTCATAGGTGTCAGGTAAGGGAAACATTTCAGTTGGTGAAGCAGAGGGGATTCAAATATGTGAGAGGCTAGATCCAAAGACCTATAGTGTACTGTGTTATCTGAAGAGTCAGATGGTTCTGTGACTCCATAGTTTTTAAAGTAATGGGGGTCACAGACTACATCGGAGATTCAAATAGGTTTTTTTTTTTTTTTTAAAGCTAAGAAAGAGAGCCGCAGTTTTAGAAATCTGATGGTCAAAATGGCTGGAAGCAGTAAACAAGAGATTGGATATTAAGTTTCAATCTTCCGTAATGTTAAGAATGTAGCTAAATGATGTCCCAAATTACTTATAAACATTTAAGACATTTAATAATTTAAGAAGTAGGTTAATGATTTTTCTTAGGTAAAAGTCTCCTGAAAGAATTTTCTATTTCAAAAAAAATGTAGCCCTTTTTTTTGCTGGAGATTGTATTAGGAAGTTTCATCAGATTATATAAAATTATGATTTTGTATCAAACGTAATCATAATGACTCTATTTGGAATGATATTCAGGGAAATCACAATAATGTAGTAATAGTTATACAGAGAAATACTAGAGTGAAAACATCTGGACAATTAGACCTACAGTTAGTGTTGAAAAATTTACCTTTGATTGCATAAGGCAATTACATGGATACTTTTAGATATATTTAAATTTTTAATGTTGGCATCCAAAGGGTTATTTGAAATTAAAGTTATTTTCCTGTTCATTGGTTTTGAAAATTTTATTTCTACTTTCAGAAGAAAAATATAATACGGAAAAGATCATAGATTTACTTGTAGTTTATTAATGTAAAGTGTTTTTTTTTTTCCTAATTTCTCCCACATGTATTTCTGGTCCCCAGTTATACTAGCTGAGTTATAGTGTATTTTATAAATGGAATAATCTTGGGCGAAAATTGTGACTCTTCATGAAATAATATTCTTTATGTCACTAGCATACAGTTTATGTTAGTAGACATTTTTAAATCTCTTTAATGAGTGAATCCATGCAGGCCTCATAGAACAGTTGCTAGCATGCAGAAAATGCTCAAGTAAATAGTTGGCATTATCATTATCATCTTCTAACATTTTTGGACTTTTCAGTTGAAAAGAAAACATGCTATGTCATTTTTATCCATTATCCCCAGAACTTATTGTGAAAGTTGTAATGTTTTCTAAGTAAAATATGAAATAAAAATTTAGCAATTTATGATAGCCAGTGTTTTATTTTGTGTGTATGTGTTAATTAAGTCAAATAGTTGTATTTAAAAAACTCATGATAATCCTTAAGGTAGTAGTATTGTATATTGTGACACAAAGTTGTATTTACCACATTGCTTGAAGTTGGTGTGATGTGCAGAAAATCTACATTTTTTCCATAACTTGCCTTTATAATATGTATTTTTTTAAAAAATGGAGTCATGGCTCAAGGTGTTAAAAACTAGAAAATATATTATTTGGTTGTGATGGGTTTTTCTCTGTGTAGGTTGCAATGGATAAATGATTACATTTTAACACCCGACAGATGCCATTTACAAATCATTGTACATTTTGCTGCAAATGTCCATTTGCAGGTCAGTTCATGGGTGCAACTCATGGATTCTAGCAGGAAGGGAAGGAGGCCTGTAGGTGTGGGGTCCTTTAAACAAGAAAGATCTGATGATTCTTTCCAAACAATGAAAGTTTTTGAAATTCCTTAATGTGACAAGAAAAATAAGTATTAAAGAAATAATGGCACATTTGTTATCCATGTCTGGATGTTAAATTCAACAGGTAAAAATTGGAACCTACTATGTGTGTTTCTATTTCACCCTGCCTCCTCCCAACCTCAATAAATCTGTTTTTCTTTCTCTATTTCTTTTAGTCACATCATCCTTTTGCTCAAGTTAGAATTCTTAGAGTCATCCTGGACTTAAAGTTTTTTCTCCTTCTCTCTTTCTTCTCTGCCAAGTTCATGTAATTTAATTTTCAGTCTGTAGATCCATGTCTTATATCAGCTTGGGAAACTCTCTGCCATTACCTCGTAATATACTTCATTTGCTCCATTCTCTCTCTACTATTTTTCTAGGCATTCAGTTAAATGTATTTTAGACTGTATGTAGGTCTCTGATCACCTGTTCTGTATTTTCCAATGCATTGTCTCTTTATATGTCATGGTGGATATCTTCTCCTGACTTATTTTTCAGTTCTTTATCTCTCTCCTCAGTGAGGTCTAATCTGTAAAAAATTCATCCATTGTGTTCTTAATCTTAGTGATTATATTTTCAGTTCTAGGATTTTTATTGGCTCTTTTTCATTTCTGCTATGTCTTTTAAAAAATATTTTTAGCTCTCTGCTGAAATTTTTAATCCTGTATTTTATTTTCTGGGACATAGTAAGCTAATTGTTTTAACACCTGCTCAGTGCCAATATTTGGAGACCATGTTATTCTCTTTCTTTTTTTGTTCTGTTGATTTTGCTGGTCCTTATTCATACTATCTTAACTGTATCTATGCTTGGTTTTCTTTGATTTTATCAGACATTGCATTTGAAAAATTGTTTGTAGAAATAATTGTAGCAATTTTAGCCTTGAAATAATGCCTCTGCCTCTGCCTCTTCCTCTTCCTCTTCCGCTTCTTCTTCTCCCTCCTCCGCTGCTGCTGCTACTTGTTCTTCTTCTTCTTCCTCTTCTTCTTCTCCTTCTTTCTTCTTTCTTTTCTTGTTTCTTTTCTTCTTTCTTCTTTCTTCTTTCTTTCTTCTTTCTTCTTCTTTCTTCTTTCTTCTTTCTTTTCTTCTTTCTTCTTTCTTCTCCTTTCTTCTTTCTTCTTTCTTCTTTCTTCTTTCTTCTTTCTTCTTTCTTCTTTCTTCTTCTTCTTCTTCTTCTTCTTCTTCTTCTTCTTCTTCTTCTTCTTCTTCTTCTTCTTTCTTCTTCTTCTTCTTCTTCTTTCTTCTTCTTCTTCTTCTTCCTCTTCCTCTTCTTCTTTTACCTTTCCTTCTGGGAGGTTTTTGTTTGCTTCTTTCATGAGCCTAAGGGTATTAACAGTCTGGGATCACCTTATTCCAGTTGCAGGGCCTGAGGTATTCTGTGCCACCCGGATGATTTGAAGCTGGACAACAGAATGTGTGAAGGCTCTTTTACTTCCTGTTCACCCTTACTGCTAGAGCATAGCACTTCAAGGTCCCAACCCACACTACAATGTTTTTACCGGCGTCCAACTTTCATCACCATAGCAGGCCATCAAAAACACTGCTCAGCCACCAAACACTGGCTTTGTCAGAATTAACAAATGCTCCCAGCAGAAAAGTGGCCTCAAATCTCAGATCACTTCTCTGAATTTTCATCTTCTCTCAGATGTCAGATGGTAGCCTGGAAATTTTTCACTACCATGTTGGCTTTCCAATGCTTTTGAGCAGAATTTTAAAAAACAATTTTTTTTTTTTTTGGTTCAGCTTTCGTAGTTTAGCTTTTTTTGGTTCAACCTTCCTAGGAAGGTTGGTCTGAATTACCTAGTCTGTCATTAACAAACACTGAAATATCTTTTAATTTTAATGTCACAAAGTATCTCAAATTAATCTACCTCCTTAGGGAGGAGGTAGTAATAAATTATACCTAGACCTCAGTGGTTTAATATAGCAAATGTTTAGTTCTCTCTTATGTTACAAGTTGAATGTGGGTTGGTTGGGGTCGGGTAGAGTGGTGACTTGTTCCAGACAGTCACTCAGGTATCCAGGATGTATTTTCTCTATTCACCATCTTGTAGTCAATTATTGGGAACACATAAATTCTGATATCACCATGAAAGGGAAGGGAGAAGGAGGCACACTGGGTTTTACTGATTCACTTGGAAACAATCACTTTTGGTCCCAGTCCATTGACCTACAATAGCCACATAGCCCCAGCCTAACTTCAAGGGTGGCTAGGAAACAAAGGGAAACATGTAGATTGCTGAGCAAGTATGAATTATACCTTCCCTTCCCTTCAGCTGTAGCTTTGGTTCAGGGTCTTATGAGCTCTTACTTAGCATGTTGAAATAGTTTTCTAACCCCAACTGACATAAATGACTTAAACCTGCTATGTGTCATTCTGAGAGATCTGAACTAGGTTGTAAGGAGCAGAGCTTTGTAGGGAAAGGGGCCATGAGCTTCCTCCAGAGAATATGAGGGGCCTCAAAGATATCAATTCCCTGGAATAAAATAGATTATTGCCTGATTCTAAATTGAATTAATAACCACATGGGCCAAACTGAAGAGGCAGGGAGCTTGACTTTTCCTTTAGGTTACATGTAGTACCGTATCCCAGGCCTTATACTAAGTCCTTTCCATACATAATCTCATTTAGTTATCAAGGCAACCCAATGAGAAAGGGTTAATGATTTCTTCTTCCCAATCATTTATTAATAAGTAAATGGTATTTTAGAGCAAAATTTAAAGTAAGGTCCCTAAAGGCCATGTTTTAATCTTAATTCTTTATTAAGACT